CCCTATCTCCCCTTCCCCCACTATCCATAATTTTGCTGCTTCATATAAGTGTTTAACTGTGTAAAATGTCGTGTATCTCCTTCCCTCCCACCAACCTCTTCGGTACGGTTCATATACCACTTGTTTACCTTTTGTAATTTTTTTGTAGTTGTTTTTCTGTGGTCTTTATTATTATGTTGTTGTAGACAAAATTTTTGTTGTTGTTGTTTTTTGTTCATGTTATTGTATCTTGGTTTGTGTTTTTTTTTTGCAACCAACCACTTTTTGCCACCTTTACCACAAAAGTAATGCAAAACTTTTATTACATGTGGGATATATATACAGACAGACACACGCACACATACATACACACACATACACCCTACCCTCAGATTGTGGGGTACAGTTGATTTGTTGATTGATTTCGACAGTTAAATAAATTATCCAGAAGGGTAAAATTAAAATAGATAAATGTTTCACGAGTGTGTTTAGGCTAATAGGGGATTAGATAAATTATCTACGGCTATAGATATTTTTTTCTGGGCCCTCTGAATACCCAAGCATCTCGTGATGTGTAGATGGTTGGACTATCATTAGATAAATTAGATAAATTATCCATAAGGGGGTAGAAATTTAAAAAATAAATTTATCACAACTATGTTTGGGATAAAACGGGAGTAGATAAATTATCCAGGACTATAGATAATTGTGTTTTTCGTTTCTTGGGCCACTGAATACCAAGAAATCTCTTGTTGTGTTTTTGGTTGCAGTATCCTTTTGACAATTAGATAAATTATCCACAAGGGTAGAAATTTAAAAAAGATAAATTTCTCACAGCTGTGTTTAGGCTAATAGGAGATTAGATAAATTATCCAGGACTATAGATAATTGTAGTTATTTTCAGGGGCCTCTGAATACCCAGGGATCTCGTGATGTGTAGATGGTTAAGGTGTCATTTTAACAATTAGATAAATTATCCGCAAGGGCAGAAATTAAAAAAGATACATTTCTCACAACTTTGTTTAGGTTAATAGGGGATTAGATAAATTATCCAGGACTATAGATAATTTTTTCTGGGTAGTCTCTGAATGCTCAGAGATCTCCTGATGTGTTGGTGGTTGCAGTATCATTTTGACAATTAGATAAATTATCCACTAAGGTAGGAATTTAAAAGATAAATTGCTCACAACTGTGTTTAGGCTAGTAGGGGATTAGATAAATTATCCAGGACTGTAGATAATTGATTTTTTTTTCTGGTGCCTCTGAATACCCAGGGATCTTGAGATGTGTAGATGGTTATAGTGTCATTTTGACAATTAGATAAATTAATAAAGGTAGAAATTTAAAAGATAAATTTCTCACAGCTGTGTTTAGGCTAAAATAAGATTAGATAAATTATCCAAGACTATAGATAATTATAATTATTTTCAGGGGCCTCTGAATACCCAGAGATCTCCTGATGTGTTGGTGGTTGCAGTATCATTTCGACAATAGATAAATTATCCATAAGGTTAAATAAGTGGAAATTTTAAGAAAAAAAAAATATTCAGGCCTTTGAATAATTATCTTTCTTCAAAAATAATTTATCTGCATTGTGCATTCTCATTCATTCTCACTCATTCATTGTGGATATATTTTGCACATCTCTCGGATATATTATCTTCATTGCGGATAAGTTATCTATACCTTGGATTATATTATTTTTCATTGTGGATACAATTTTTTCTACTTTATTTTTATTGCGGATAATTAATCTACGCCTTTGAATATTTATCTTCTATAAAAATAATTTATCCGTATAATGGATAAATCTATTTTTTATTGTGGATGCGTTTTTTCATTTCGGATAAGTTATTTCCATTGTGGATAAATTATCTATGTCTTGGATAATAGTATTTTCATTGTAGATACATTTTTTGTCGCTTCGGATATTTTTTCTATATTTATTTTTGTCAGATATTTCTTTTCTCACTTCAGACAAATAATTTTTCTAATGCGGATAATTTATCTACGCCTTCGAATATTTATTTTCTTCAAAAATAATTTATCTGCATCACGGATAATTTTAATTTTCATTTAGGATACGTTTTTATAATTTCGGATAAGTTATCTCCATATAATATTATAATATTAGTTTTATCATTTCCGATAATTAATTTTTTTTAATGCGTAAAATTTATCTACGGCTTCGACTATTAATCTTCTTCAAAAATAATTTATCTGCATCACGGATAATTTTATTTTTCATTTTGAATGCGTTTTTATAATTTCGGATAACTTATCTCCATAGCGGATAAATTATCTATGTCTCGGATAATATTATTTTCCATTGTAAACTAATTTTTTCTCACTTCGGATGTTTTATCTCATTTCAGTTAATTTATTTGTTTTTGCGGATTTGTTTGCGTTGTGGATAAGTTATCTACGTCTCAGATAATATTATTTTTCATTGTAAATGCATTTTTTCTCGCTTTGGATAATTTGTCTTTATTATGGATAATCTATCATCGCCTTTGAATATTTATCTTCTTCAAAAATATTTTATCCACGTCTCGGATAATATTATTTTTCATTGTGGATATATTTTGCACATTTCGGATAAGTTATCTCCATTAGCCATACCTTGAATAATATTATTATTTATTGTAGAGACATTTTGTTGTCACTTCTGATACTTTATCTCGATTTCGGATAATTTATTCGCGCCTTCGAAATTTATCTTTATAATAAATACTTTATCCGCAACATGAAAAATATTAATTTTCATTTTGAATACAATTTTCTCATTTCGGATAAGTTATCTTCATTGCGGATAAATTATCTATGTCTCGGATAATATTATTTTCGATTGTGATTACATTTTTTCTTACTTCAGATATTCCGCATCATGAAAAATATTTTTTATTTTGAATACATTTTTTTCATTTTGGATAAGTTATCTGCATTGCGTATAAATTATCTATGTCTCGGATAATATTATTTTTCATTGTGGATACATTTTCCCATTTCTAATAAGTTATCTCCCTTACGAATATTTTTTTCTAATTGCGGAGAATTGATCCAAGACTTCGGATAATTTTTTTTTTCACATCGGTGAATTATTATTTATCCGCTCCACCTTGGCGAATAAAATGTCCCGTCATTAATTGCGAATAAATAAATATTGCCTACTTTTAGGCTAACTGCGGACCCTTCGTATAACTTTTTTCATTGCGATGAAAATGTATCCCCACATCTGTGTATGATTTTTTTACATTACAAATATTTTTTCTAATTGCGGATAGTTTATCTACAACTTCGAATAACCTTATTTCCTCCTCGGTGAATTATTTTCCCTCCTCATGGAATAAAATGTCCCCCTTATTAACTGTGAATAAAAGAAGTATTGCCTACTTTTGGGCAAATCGAAACTTCCTATAATTTTGTCCATTCAAAAAAAAAAAAAAAATTATTTGTGGATAACTTATCTACAACTTCGGATAACCTTATTTCATTCTCGGTGAATTATTTTCCACCTCATTGAATAAAATTTCCCCTTATTAATTGCGAATAAATAAATATTGCCTACTTTTAGGGTAACCGGACCCTTCGTATAACTTTTTTCGTTGCGAAAAAATGTATCCCGCATCTATGGATAATTTTTTTTTCATTACAAATATTTGTTTCTAATTGCGGATAATTTATCTACAACTTCGGATAACCTTATTTCCTCCTCGGTGAATTATTTTCCACCTCATGGAATAAAATGTCCCCCTTATTAATTGTGAATAAAAAAAGTATTGCCTACTTTTGGGCAAACCGAACCTTCGTATAATTTTGTTCATTGCATTTTTTTTTATTTGTGGATAATTTATCTGCAACTACAGATAACATTTTTCCTCCTCAGTGAATTATTTTCCACCTCGTGGAATAAAATTTCCCTCCATTAATTGCGAATAAAAAAAGGATTGCCTATTTTTGGGCAAACCAGACCCTTCGTATAAATTGTATCCCCACATCTGTGTATTTTTTTACATTACGAATATTTTTCTAATTGCATTAAAAAGCATTGCATATTTTTGGGCAAATCGAATTTTCGTATAATTTTTCATTGCGAAAAAATTTATTCTTATTTTCGGATAATTTTTTCCATAACTAATATTTTTTTTTTAATTGCGGATAATGTTTTTTCCCCTCGATGAATTTTTTCCCTTCTCATCGAATAAAATTTCCCCCTCATTAATATATTGCCTACTTTAAGGCAAACCTAAGCTTCGTATAATTTTGTCCATCACGAGAAAATGCATCTCCGCATCTGTTAATGAATTTTTTCCCCTTACGAATATTTTTTCTAATTGCGGATAATTTATCTACAAGCTTTAGACTAGATTTTTTCCCCTCGTTGAATTTTTTTCTATCTCATCGGAGAAAACTTTTAGACAAACCGAACCCTTCGTATATATTTTTTTTATTATATCTGCGGTTAATTTTCCCCCCTTTCTTATTGCGGATAATTTATCTACAACTTTAGATAACATTTTTTTTTATTATTTTCCCTTCTCATCGAATAAATTTTCCCTCCATTAATTGCGATTGAAAAAAGTATTGCCTACTTTTAGGCAAAACCTACAAATTTCTTATTTTTCCGTGTCACCCTATACTAGACCAAAATAAAATCCTATTTTTTGCCAAAAAAAAACCTACAACTGACTGTCGTTATGCCATGTCTCACCATCACCACTTCGACCAACAACAACAACACCAATAACAACCCATAACAGCAGCATTTTAACGCCATACACCATAAATAAATGTTTATATCCTCTGTGTGTGTTTTTTTTTCCTGAAGTTGTTGTTGTTGGCTTGAGGTTTATTTTTATTGTTATTGTATTTGTTGTTGTTGTTGCTGTTTTTTGCTATTCACACGAACTCTGAGTTCTTCTTGTCGCCTGCGGTTCTGTGTGTGCTTTCAAATGGTTGTGGTGTTTTTTCGTTTTCGTTTTTCTTCTTCAATTTTTAGTGGCTTGCAGCAATAACAGCAGCCACAACAACAACAACAACTGCTGCAGAACTACTACCGACAAGAGGAGCTGCAGCAGCATGGCCATTGTTGTTATTTCTATCGCATTACAGTTATATTATCCTTCTTATTGCCACACTTTTGGCGCACACGCACGCACACACAGAGACTACTCTCGTCACCATCCAGCGAACGAGGTTCGTCTCTCCTCTGTCATGCCTCCCATGTCCTGGCCTTGCTTTGCTGTACAATTCAACAATAAAATTTTTCGCACACATACACTCTCATTCACACACACACTCACACACTTGTATTCACAATGTGTTTAACACTTGCACACGTACACACACACACACACAAACCCAGTGGAGACTGTGTGTTGATTTTTTGTTTCTGCTGGATGCTCATGGCTCCATTTGATGTGGATGTGGAGCCACCACATCCACAGATCTTGATCCTATGTGTGTTGGTGTGTGTGTGTGCGTGCGTGCCTGTGTGTGGTGTTGCATTGGTGAGGGGGGATCCTGTGGCAAAACTTATAGCTTCAGTCAAGCGAACATTTGTCGTCATATTAACATGGTTGGTGGCATTTTTGGTTGAATCCATACCAACACAAAATGGAGGGGAGGAGGATCCTCACCTCCCCTCTCTCTCAACTCCTTGGCAATCTTTAATTTGTGCCAAAATAAAATCCTGCCTTTTTTCATTCAATGGGAGTGTGTCGGTATGTGTGCTCGCCTTGTTTAGGATGCCTCCTCTTGCTGTGGTGGTGATGGTAACCATAACAGTGTCTGTGTGTGTGTGTGTGTGGATGTGTTTACCCGCCTCTGTATTTGTTTGCAGGATATTTGTATAACTACAACACTTTAGGAGAGAACTATACAGTTTAGTCCCCGTGTGTATATGGGCTTTGGATATCCCTTTCTATACATCCCGATCCCCTTCCTCCCCAATTACTGTTTATTTTCCACTTTAGATGCAGTATTTCGAGTTGAGTTCAGTTGTTGTTTTTGTTGTTGTTATTATTATTGTTGTAAATTTGTGGTAAATGAACACAAGTGGTACACAACAGACGGCTACAGCAGATTTTTTTGGACAAGGTAGGTAGTAGTTATAGTCCTCTGGTGGTAGCAGTACCTAGTATAGGAGGATTTTATGAACGCGATGTGAAAATTCTCCTGAGGCAGGGAGGGAGTCATACAAACGGAACGATAGGGAATTGTGGTGGCGGTTAGAAGGAGAAGAGGATGAATGGAAGCAGAACAGTGGAATTGTGAATAAAAAATAGTGAAATTTTGTGGTTAATATTTTCTTACTATGACAATAGTATAATTTATTCACCACTGTGAAAATATATTCACCACACACACGAAAAACGTTTCCAAAAGGTATTTACACCTTTTGGAAAGGTTTTTCGTGTGTGGTGAATATATTTTCACAGTGGTGAATATATTATTCACTGAGGTGAATACATTTTTTAAATGTGGAAGATACTTATTTTCAGATTTTGCATATATTTTTCGTTTGTGGTGTATATATTTTCACAGTGGTGAATATATTTTTTTTCATGTGGTACTTTTTTCTGGATTTACCATATTTTTAAGGTGGTGAATTTAGTTTTGTTATTAGGTGCAAACAATTTCACTGTTGTAGGTATATTCACCACAGTGGTGAATAATTTTTTTACGAAGGTAACACACATTTTTCCCACATTGAGTACTTTTTGACTTCCATACATTTATTTTCAGCTGAAAATTTTAGACTGGTGAATAATTTTTAGAGTGTGGTGAATATATCTCTGTGGTGAATTTTGTAAACTCTTGTAAATAATTTTTTTCTCGGATTTACAATATTTTTCTGTAATATGCTGAATAAACTATACACCACTATGGCATTTGCATCCAGTGTGGTGAATAGTTTTTTCACGTTAGAATTTCAAATGTGGTAAATACATATTCATTTCATGTTTTTCGTCTGTGGTGAATATTTTTTCGCAGTGGTGGTAAATAATTTATATTTTATTGATGATATTTTTAATGTGTTGAATCTATTTTTTTGTTTGGTGAAAACAATTTCACTGTTGTGAGAATGTTCCCCTAAGTGGTGAATATTTTTTACGAAGGTAACACACATTTTGCTCTTGTTGAATATTTTTTTACGTCCATACATTTTTTTCAGCTGAAAATTTTAGACTGGTGAATAGTTTTTATAGTGTGGTGAATACGTTTTTCACAGTGGTGGAATTTTTTAATTCTTATAAATTCATTTTTTTATACTTTTTTCTGGATTGACGATATTTTTGAGGCTTTTGCATATATTTTTCGCGCGTGGTGAATATATTTTCACAGTGGTGAATATATTATCCTCTGTGGTGAACATATTTTTTTAAATACATTTATTTTCAGCTGAAAATTTTAGACTGGTGAATAGTTTTTAGAGTGTGGTGAATAAATTTTTTAATGTGGTGAATTTTTTTAACTCTTGTAAATATTTTTTTTTTACTTTTTTTCTGGATTGACGATATTTTTAACGCTTTTGGATAAATTTTTCGCCTGTGGTGAATATATTATCACAGTGGTGAATATATTTTTTAAATGTGATAAATATTTTTTACTGTATTCGAGATATTTTTTAAGTGGTGAATTTATTTTTTTTGTCTGGTGAATATAATTACACAGCTGTGGGTATATTCACCTCAGTGGTGAACATTTTTTAGGAAGTAACAAACATTTTTGACACGTTGAAAATTTTTTTGTGCTATATATTTATTTTCAGCTGACAATTTTAGACTGGCGAATAATTATTTTATAGTGTGGTGAATATATTTTTCTCTGTGGTGAAATTTTTAACTCTTATAAATTTATTATTTTTACTTTTTTCTGTGTAAACGATATTTTTAAGATGTTGAGTTAATTTTTTTTGTCTGGTGAATAGAATTTCACTATTGTGAGAATTTTCCCCTAAGTGGTGAATAATTTTTTAACGAAGGTAACATACATTTTTCTCGTGTTGAATATATTTTTAGGTCCACACATTTATTTTCAGCTGAAAATTTTAGACTGGTGAATAATTTTTATAGTGTGGTGAAAACAATTTTCCATTCTGTGGTGAATAAATTTAGCAATGTGGTGTATTAATTTGTCACTATTGTGTGTCCTTTTTCCTGATTTAAATCAAATTTTCTTGAATTTTAATTATTTTTCCATCATTGAAAATATATTGTTGGGTGTGGTGAATTGGTTTTTTAGTTGTGGTGAATACATTTTAAAATAGGGTGTATATAAATTATATCTGAGATAAAAAATAATTTTTTGAGTGTGGTGAATAAATTTTTTGCATTTATCCAAGTGGTGAATATATATTTTTTAATTTATTTACATATTTTTTAGCTATTTTGGATGAATATTTAATGATCTTAACAAAAGGGAAATTTATTTCACAGTGGTGAATTTTTTTTGAAAACTTTCAATGTGGTGAATATTTTTTTAATTTTTTATAATATTTTTTAAATGATAAAAATGTGTTGTTGCGTTGAATATAAATCATACTGTGGTGTTTATTTATATTTTCATTGGAAAATATATTTTTTTCGAAGGTGGTGAATTTATTTTTAAATATTACTCCAGTGGTGAAAAAATATTCCTCGTGTGTTGAAAAAATAAATATTCTCGTCGTGTGCTGCATAAATTATCCCTGCTTCGGTAAATAACTTATCAATCAATTGTCCTCTAAATTCTTATCTAGCATTTGCCACTGTATCCTCACTCTCGCCCTCCAGCTTTCCCCCTCTCATCCCCTCAATAGATTTCCCACTTATTTTGCAATGCCATTGTTATCCTGGCCAATATTATCATACTTTGTGATTTTGTTGTTGTACTTTTTTCATTTATTCCGCTATGATGCGACCTAATCTCTATTTGTGTTAAACAGCAGTGTTCAATATGTCCAATAATGACAAGAATCAGGCAGGAGGAGGAGGAGGTGTACAGTAAAGGCAAAAAGTATCGCTTCAATAGAAATCGCTGGCTACCTTGTACCTTTTGTTCTTTACTTCCGGCTTTAGCCATGGATAATGATGTTGGTAGTCGTCTCATGACTATTAGAGGAGGATGAGATGATGATGGTAGAGGGTTGTAGTGGTGGTTGTCGTGGTCTGGATGGTGTCGATTTGCCTGGCTAAGATTGTTTTTCGCATAAATATCACGCATAACATTCCTTGTAGCACTACTACCTACCTACCAATGATGATGATGATGTTGATTTTCCATGTCCTATGGCGCTTGGTAGGTCGGTTGGCTGACAGGGGCACGGGGAGACTCTATTGGGTTTAGTCAGGAATCTATTGTGTATCATCATGAATACGAATCGATGTTAAGTTGTTCTACCATCCTGCATATTGTTTACTTAAATGCCTGAATTGTTTGGCTGATGCTTAACTTTTTGGGGTATTATAAGGCCATATTTTGAATAACAGCAACAACATTTTCAGCAAACTCTACCCTGCAGTGCTCTCACCCCGACCTTCAATATACCCTACACCATATGGTAGATAGAGCCCGTTATACTTAAGATAGGGCTTTGAAATTTTGCACATATATTACTACTACTTCTAGGATATCTGGGATTGGAAATGGGAACATATCGGTTAAGGATTGGGCATAGCTCCCAAATACCGATACCCTCCAATATTCAGTATTTAGAGGAGTTTGGTTAGGGGTTTTCAACCGAATTGGCTGTAGATTGGTATTTAGGGTTCGCAGTGGGTAGAAAATCAACCTACCAAAAATTACCTGTATATAGCTATTTTTTTTGGGTAGCACCCATACAAAGGTACCTTCCAAAATTCGGTACTTTGAGGATCTTGGATAGAGTTTTCAACAGAATTGGCTGTAATCCGGTAGTTTAGGTTCTGATTCGATAGGAAATGTCCCTACAAAAAATTATCAATATTGGTCTACTTTTTAGAGTAGCCCCCATATAAAGGTACCTTCGAAAATTCGGTATTTTGGGGAGCTTGAGCTCTTTTTTCAATCGAATTGGCTGTAATTTGGTATTTTGTGTCCGCATAGGATCGAAAATCTCCCTACCAAAAATTATCAACTTTGATCAACTTTTAAGGGTAGGCCCCATATAGCGGTGCCCTCAAATATTCCGAATATTGGATACGTTTTTTAAGCGAATTGGCTGTAATTTGGTATTTCGGGTTCTCACGAGGTAGGAATTTTCTATACCAAAAATTGTTAGTATTGGTTCACGTTTTAGGGTAGCCCACTTACAAGGGTTCTTCTCAAATACGCTATTTTGAAGGATCTTGGACAGATTTTTCAACCAAATTGGCTATAATTTGGTATTTTGGGATCGCATATGGTCAGAAACCTCCCTATAAAAAATTATCAATATTGGTCTACTTTTTAGGGTAGACCCCATATAAGGGTACCCCACAAATTTCGATATTTTGGGGATCTTGGAAAGGGGTTTCAACCGAACTGGCTGTAATTCGGTACTTTGGGTTCGAATTAGGTGGAAAATCTCCCCGACAAAAATTATAAGTATTGATCCACTTTTAAGGGTAGCCCCCATGTAAGGTTACCTCCAAATTTCGATATTTTGGGGAGCTTGGATAGAGTTTGCAACCGAATTGGCTGTAATTCGCTATTTTGGGTTCTCATTGGGTAGATAATCTCCACACCAAAAATTGTGAATATTAATCCACTTTTAAGGGTAGTCCCCATATAAGGGTACCTCACAAATTTCGATATTTTGGGAAGCTTGGGCATTTCTTTTCAATTGAATTTGCTGTAATTCGGTATTTTGGGTCCGAATTAGGTGGAAAATCTCCCTGCCAAAAATTATTAATATTGATCTACTTTTTAGGCTAGACCCCATGTAAGGGTACCTCAAAATTTCGATATTTTGGGGATCTTGGACAGAGTTTTCAATCGAAATGGCAGTGTTTCGGTATTTTAGGTTCTCTTTGGGTTGGTAATCTTCCTACCAAAAATTATTAGTATTGGTCTACTTTTAAGTATAGTCCCCATATAAGGGTACCTCACAAATTTCGATATTTTGGGGAGCTTGGATAGAGTTTGCAACCGAATTGGCTGTAAGTCGGTATTTTGGGTTCTTATTGAGTAGGAAATTCTCTTACCAAAAATTATGAATATTGATCCACTTTTAAGGGTAGTTCCCATGTAAGGGTACCCCTCAAATTTCGATATTTTAGGGAGCTTGGACAGAGTTTTCAATCGAAATTGCTGTGTTTCGGTATTTTGGGTTATATTTGGGTAGGCAATCTTCCTACCAAAAATTATGAATATTGTTCCACTTTTAAGGGTAGCCCTCGTGTAAGTGTACCTCACAAATGTCGATATTTAGGGGAGCTTGAGCACTCTATTCAACCGAATTGGCTGTAATTTGGTATTTTGGGTTGTTATTGGGTAGACAATTCTCCTACCAAAAATTATGAATATTGATCCACTTTTAAGGGTAGTTCCCATGTAAGGGTACCTCAAAATTTCGATATTTTTGGGATCTTGGATAGAGTTTTCAACCGAATTGGCTGTAATTCGGTATTTTGGGTTCTCATTGGGTAGAAAATCTTCCTTACAAAAATTATCAATATTGGTCCAGTTTTTTGGGGTGGCCTCCATATGAGGGTATCTCCAAATTTCGATATTTTGGGGATCTTGAACAGAGTATTTAACCGAATTTGCTGCAATTCGGTATTTTGGGTTCTCATGGTGTAGGGAATCTTCCTACCAAAAATTATCAAAATCGGCCCCGTTTTTAGTAGGGTCTCCATACAAGGGTACCTTCCGAATTTCGGAATTTTGGGGATTTTAGCACGTTTTCCAATCAAATGGACTCTAATTTGCTATACCTATGCCATTCCCATAGTCCCCTTTTAAAATTTCCCATCGATTTTAGACATTTTTCAATATTTTCCTCATGTTGAAGGGTATAAGAAGTTCGTCCTGACCGAACTTTACGAAGTTTTTCTTTATTTATTTATAATTTTTTTATATGAGATTGCTGTGTGTGCTTGTGTCCGACCCACCCTTTCTTTCTCTGTTGAGTGTCCGTCCTTGTTGCCTTGAAGTTAAGTGTATTGTTTAACTTTAAAAACCCCAAAGAAGAAGAACCCTTGTCCTTCCTCTTACCCCCCTCCCGCATAAAACCAATATCTCTCTGCCTTGTCGTAACTCTGTCTCTGCCACAATCCCCAAATAAATGTTTTATGCTTTTTGGCAACATATTTATTTTATAGGTTGGTTAGTTCCCAAAACTGTTTTCCTAGCCAATCCCCCCTCCCCTTTCCTCCTTCAACTTCTTCCCTTCTTCAGTAACCCCTTACCTTGTCGAATTATTCCCCAAAGACAAGTCAATAATAGATAGAAGGTTTACCTAACAACATGTGCTAAACACATATACTACACGTGTGTGTATATGTGTGTTAGAGTGTTTATCTCGGGTGTGTGTGTGTCTGTGTTTGTGTTGGCTTCTTCTTAATCTTTAACATCTTTAAATTTGGATTTTTATATCCTTCACACGCACACACAGACACACTCTCCACTACTTTGCCTGAGAAGGCCTCAAGTAGATCTTCAGTTGGTTGGTTGGTTGCCTTGAATGGTTTTGTTTGTATAGAAGAATATTCACACACACATACACATACTCACACACATCATGCAATGCCTCAGTGGCTGTCATTTTCTTGAACTTTTTGTTCCTCTTCATCTACTTCTCCTCCGTCTTCTCAGCAAACTTTTAGCAGATTTTTATTTACAAAGGACTTCATGAGCAGAGTGTACATGTGTGTGTGAGTGTGTGTGTGATGTGTGTGCACCACTGAGTGTTTATATTTATATATTTGTTTGTAGTATTTTGTTTATTTATATTTACTTTGTCATGTTTGCAGTTTATTTGCATGTTGATTTTACCGTTTTTCCTCTCCCTTCAAACTCTCATGGTAAATATTCCCCTCTCTCTCAATCTCTCGTTGAGGTCTCTTCTCGTAGTCGTCGTCTTGTTGATTTTGGCGCAGAAAATTTAAATATGTATTAGTTGAAAATTACTGTCAACTTTTCATTACCACTCCCCCCTCTCCTCCCCTCCCCTTCCCTCTCCTCTTCCTTTTGAAAAGTAAACGAAAAAGGATTTTTATGATAACTCATCACACACATTCACACACCCTCAGAGACATAGACACAACCACACACTCACATGACTGCATTTTATAAACAGCTGAGTGTCAGCTGAGCTCTTTACAATTTTCAATAAAAACAATGGCATACATTTAGGCGCAGGAGAATAATTAAACATAAAATGTTTTATGGGAGAGATTTACTGAAGGATAGGAAATATTATTTCCAAAGATTGAAATAGAGAGAGAGAGAGGTAACAAGGAAAAGAGAGAGAATGTTCTCGATACCTCTCCTAAATGTACGATCAGTTTCTAAAGGTATGCAGAGTTGGTTATTTGTATGGAATTTGTGAACATATTTTGGTATAGGAAATAAAATAAAAAAATGGTGCATAAATTTAGGCGCTCATAATATTTAAATCGTAGAAATACACAAAATTTCCATGGCATTATTTTTTTGCTATGAATTATTTGTAATTACAAATATAGACTACTTTTTTGGGAGAATTTTATTTTGTTTATAAAAAATGGTGCATACATTTAGGCGCTCATAATATTTAAATCATAGAAATACACAAAATTTCCCAGGCATTATTTTTTTTTTTTTGCTATGAATTATTCATAATTACAAATTGAAACTACTTTTTGGGAGAATTGTATATTAAAAAAATGGTGCATACTTTTAGGCAAATTCATAATAAATTTCAATTATTATAAAAAAATAATTTTAAAGACCTTTTTTGGGAATTAAAATGAAAAAATAATTTTTTAGTATTAACACATCGAGGCAACAAAAGCGTGACCAAAATACCGAATATACCGAAAATTAGGAGGTACCGTTGTATGGGG